CTGTCTGAGCCTGCCTCCTGAGTGTAATCATCTCCTGCAGGTAAATTTCAGTGGTCGAGGAGAAGACAGCTAGGCAGTTGTCTAGGTGCAAGGAGCGGCGAAGGGAATCCAGAGCATCAAAACCACAAAAATCATCACTGAATCGTTCTACTTCTACTCCACCCTATAATCTTGCTTTGAGAAGTACTTGTAACTTCCAAATCCTGAGCTGCTACCAGGTTGACTGGTGGGAATCAGCTTGCTTCTTGGCGGCTTACTGCTCTTCAGCCTTCAGCATCCCGCAATCCATAGTCATTATCACTCGACCATCTTCTTTCTAGTTCCCCAAACCTGATTTCCCCTGGCTCCACTTTTCCATTCTTTTTGCCAATTTATATCTTTATTCTTTTACTACCACCTTAGTGGGATTTCCAGAGGGTGTATACAACGGGACATGTTAAACTAGAAGTGTCTACTTACACTAAGTCTTAATTTCTTCATTTAAAAAATGTGGACTACACCCTTTAACTCTGGTAGCTATGATTACCAGTATTTTTTATTTTAACTTCTACAATTATGAAGACTTCATTTTATTCACCACAGACCTAACTGCATATCAAAGCTTCAATAAATATTTCATTTAAAAAGAATTACCTTTTAGTGCATATGTACTCAATAAGCATGTCCTCAAATACAGAAAAAGTACAATCTCAAGTAGAACTTCAATTATATTTCTCTCAAAGCACTCTGTTCCTTTCTTTCAGAGTATTTGTTATGATTTCTAACTACATATTCATAATTACTTCATTAATGGCTAATTCCCTAATAAACCAAACCCTATGAGGGCAGAAACCATTTTTTTGTTTACCTCTGATTACTCAGCATCCAGCCCAATGCCTGGCATACGGTAAACATGTATTTGGTAACTAAATGAAAGAGTAAATAATATTTATGCCATTTAATCTGCCCCAAAACTCAGTAAAAGGAATAAAGCTTCCCAACTTTTTAATAAGGCAGCCAAATGCAGTACCAAAATCTGACAAAACATGAAAAAGGAAATTAAAGACTTATCTCTAGTATGAACATTGATACTAAAATCCTAAACTATATGCACTGGCAAAGAGAATCTATCAGGATATTATAATACAAGATCAATTCAGATTCATTATAGTATTGTTAAGAATTGGTTCAATAAATAGGAAATCCATAAATTTAACTAACTACATTAACAGGTGAAAGTAAAACAATCACAGAGGGGCCGCTGGGTTGTGGGATAAGGTAGGAAAGCCAAATGTCAGACTGTCAAAACAAGTTACTATATACCAGTTTATATTATGATGCCTTATAATTTGTAAATTTTTGTTGCTGCAGAGTATTTTTAAAATTTATGCATTATTTTTGCCATACTTGATCTAAAAAACAAATTAAGATGCCCCCAAATAAAAGCTGTTTAATAACACAGAAAAATATTCTACCACACCAAAAGAAAGCCGGAGTAGCCATACTTATATCAGACAAACTAGATTTTAAACCTAAGACTGTAACAAGAGCTGAAGAAGGGCATTATATCATAATTAAGAGGTCTATCCATCAAGAGATGTAACAATTGTAAATATTTATGCCCCCAACTTGGGAGCTCCCAAATATATCAATCAATCAATAACAAACATAAAGAAACTCATTGATAATAATACAGTAATAGTAGGGGACTGTAACACCCCACTTACAGTAATGGACAGATCATCTAAGCAGAAAATCAAAAAGGAAACAACAGCTTTGAAACACACTGGGCCAGACGGACTTAACAGATATATTCAGAACATTTCATCCTAAAGCAGCAGAATACACATTCTTCTCAAGTGCACAAGGAACTTTCTCCAGAACAGATCACATACTAGGTCACAAATCAGCCCTCAACAAGCACAAAAAGACTGAGATCATACCATGTATATTTTCAGACCACAACTTGAAGTCATCCACAAGAAAAAATTTGGAAAGACCACAGATACATGGAGGTTAAAGAACATCCTACTAAAGAATGAATGGGTTAACCAGGAAATTAAAGAAAAATTAAAAAATACATGGAAGCAAATGAAAATGAAAAGATGACAGTCTAAAACCTTGGAGATGCAGCAAAGGCAGTCCCTAAGAAGGAAATACATTGCAATACAGGCCTACCTCAAGAACCAAGAAAAGTCTCTGGCGCCTGGGTGGCTCAGTTGGTTGGGCGACTGCCTTAGGCTCAGGTCATGATCCTGGAGTTCCAGGATCAAGTCCCGCATCGGGCTCCCTGCTCAGCAGGAAGTCTGCTTCTCCCTCTGACCCTCTTCCCTCTCGTGCTCTCTGTCTCTCATTCTCTCTCTCTAATAAATAAATAAAATCTTTAAAAAAAAAAAATTCTTATAATTCTGCTTTGTGGTCTTCATAACTTCTGTGCTTCATTTATTTTTATTTTTTAACACTTTGAGATATAATTCACATAGCATACAGTTCACCCATTTGAAGTGTACAATTCAATGGTTTTAGATTATTCAGACCTGTGCAGCCATCACTACTGTCAATTGTAGGCCACTTCATCACCCCAAGAAGAAACCCTGTACTCCGTGGCCACCACCCTCATCTTCCACTGCTCCCTATCGCCAGGCCTAGGCAACCACTAATTTACTTTCTGTCCGTATAGATTTGCCTCTATTGAACCATTTTATGTATATGGAATCATACAAGTGGTCCTCTGTGACTGGCTTCTTTCATGCAGCATCATGTTTTCAAGGTTCATCCATATGGTAGCATGTTTACTTCACTCACTTTTCATTTCATTGGCTCATTTAGGGCCAAATGATATTTTACAGATATACCACATTTTCTTTTATCCAATCATCAACTGATGGACATCTGGGCTCTTTCAACTTTTTGGCTATTATGTATAATAATGCTATGAATGTTCATGTACAAGTTTTTGTGTGGACATTTTTTCATTTCTCCTGAATATATACCTAAGAGAACAACTGGATCATATGATAAATCTATGTTTAACCATTTGGAGAACTGCCATTCTGTTTTCCAAAGTGACTGCATCATTTTACATTCTCATTAGCAGGGCGTGCAAAGTTCTACTTTCTCCACATCATTGCTGACACTTGTTATCTTTCCGATTACAGCCATCCTAGTAGCTATGGAAACGATATATTAATTTATTTGTAAATTTATGTTGGAATCTTAGGTTACACTTTTCACCTACTTCAAGAGATCCACAAGCTTTTTCATAAAGGGCCAGGCAGTAAATTTTTAGGATTGTGAGCCATACAGTCTCTGTCACAAAGACTCAATTCTGCTGGTGAAGCATAAAAGCAGCCACAGGCAATGTGTAAATGAATGGAAATGACTATGTTCTAATAAAACTTTGTTTAGAAAAACAGGCAAGACTATAAGGCAGTAGCTTGCCCACCCCTGATCTACACTGTACCAGTATTTTGGGCTTTTCTTATCATCTGTAGAAAACTGTGGTGCATATCCCCCCACCTTAGCCTTTTCTTACACATTTATATTAGTTAACTACTGCTTAGTAACAAACCATCTCAAAATTCAGTAGCTTATAACCACAATCATTTACTACTGCTCACATTTCTACAATGTTGGCTGAATTAGGCTTAACTCAGCTGGGGCAGCCCTGACCCATGTGTCTCCCATCTTCCTTCAACCAATGAGTTAGGAAGGCATGTTTTTTCTCATGGAAATGGCAGAGGTGCAGAGAACAAATGGAGAATACCCAAGTCCTCTTAAGGTTTACTAGGCCTGAAACTGACATACCATCATTTCTACCTGATATTATTGCCCAAAGCAAGTCATATGGCCAAACTCAAAGTCAAGGGGGAGGGAAAAATACCCTGTCTCTTTAGTGGGAAGAATGCAGTCATGGAAGGAGGGAATAAAGCCCTGGGGTTCATAACGCAATTGATGGTAGTGATGGTTGTACACCTTGTGAATATACTAAAACCCAATGAATTCTATCTCCATATTACAAATATTATGTTAAAAAAAAACCAACAAAGAAATGCAATCTACCACAGTATCACTGTAAGGATGCTGTGCATATTCTTTTTGTTTTTCATACTTGAACAAGATGAATTATCCTGAACCAGCAGAAGGGTATAGGGA